TTTTTTTTTCAAATTTTTCTCGGGTACCTAGAGCTGATCCAAATTGGCGTTTCTTCAAGTGTCTTAACGTTCGGCGAATAAATTAGATTTATGGCCTTGCAGGTGCATATTGGATTCTTTAGGATACTGCTGTTACGGGAACTAGTGCTGCAGTGCAGGATGAGAGTTTTGAACGAGAAGAGCTGGATTATGAAGAGGATGACGATGAGGAACACAAAGAGGAGCGCACCGGAAGATTCACTTCGGAGAGAAAACCTGCTGATGCGGTTAGTAATTGTCGGGTAAAAGCATACAAGTAGGAATGGCTGTAAGAATATTCGTTGTATGAATGCCGTACTTCCTCGTGCTTTTCTATCTGGTCTTTAAGAAAAGCCTATGTGATCCATATAGGGTTTCCTTGCATAGTTGCGTCAGCTCGATGATGCTAATATCATTTAGACTCCTCCAACTACCAACATAGATAAAGTGGAAGGACGACGTCAAGGTGGTGGTGAGAATCGAAACCATAACAATAATCAGAAACAATGGCGTAACGGCGGTGGACGAGGCAATGGTCGCGGTCGTGGCAATAATGGCCATCGCTACAGAGGCGGTTCGAATATGCAGTATGGTGGCCCGGTAAGGGGATTTTTCAAATATTTCAATTCCAAAAATTGTTTGGCTGCTTCTAAAAATTCCATATTTTTAGATGCGAGTGCAACAAGGGCAAGGCATTGTAAGTGGGCCAACTCCACTTCTTTCACTGAATACACAAGGTCTATATCCGCCTCCTGGAGGAAAAATCCTTATCAATCCTAATTTCCGAGGCCCAGTGCCATCTGGTCCAGGACCGATAGGTTGCTTTTCAGAATATATAATATATTAATTTTCAGTATTCATCCCTCAACCTCGCTATCAGACTTGAAATTTACAGAGCGACAAAGACGCTTTCCAGGCGGTCCAGCGAGTGTGCTACCCCTTGTAGGTGCACCATCTGTACTACCAACGATTGTGCCTGGTCAAGGTCCCATAATTCCTCGTCTTCCTAATGGAATTCCTTTGACAGGTACATTTACATAAATTATTCGAGTATTTCTTGGAAATGCATACATCTGATGCCATTTTGGTAATCTGAGCCATGAAACACTGAGTAGTTCCTTTTTCTTGTAAAATACTGAAAAGGTGAATATTTATCAAATGGAAAACAAAATGACTTCTTTAAGGCCTCCCATCAAATCATGGAGCCGCCGGGTTTGGTCCCCCTCCATCAAATCGTCCACAGATGCCACCCCCAATAATGCCTGGGATGAATGCTGGCATCAGCAGACCTGCTCCAGTCGGACAGTGGGATCAAGCGGTAGAGGCGTTTCTCAGCGGCTCTACCCAAAGACAACGCAGCCCCCGTAGAAGACATCACCGCAGTTCATCCTACAGTAGTTATAGCAGCTATAGCAGCAGATCGAGGAGCGCTGGAAGGTATGAATGGTGTTTCAAGTCAATCTCTGAAGTAGGTGCTCACAAAACTATCGTTCAGCTCACGATCGCGATCTCCTCGTCGTAGACGGGAAAATAGAGGAGGAAATAATAGACAAAGAAATCAAAGAGAACGTGGAGGTCGAGGAGGAAACAATTTCCGAGGTCGCGCTGGACAGAATCGACGTGATGTTCCAAGAAGAGACACAAACAGGGATAATAAGCAGGTGAGGAAAGGTTTTTTTTT